GGGAGGGCAGGAACATGGTGCAGCCATTCATTGCCTAGCAGGGTTCCTCTTGCCTGGGGAGCCCTCCTTCCAGCTGCGTATTTCCCAGTATTCCTAAGTGGTCTGAGTTTTTCCCCGAGGATCCCCTCTCTTGGCCCATATCTCCCCTCCCTGGAACACTTCCTGTCCCTGTGGTAGGAACGAAGCTCCACCGAGAGTCCCCTTTCAGAGACCTGCACTATTGGTGGAGGCAGCTTGGAACATCTGCTGGACCTGATCCACCAGGGAAGACCCACAAGGCACAAGTCTTTGGCTCTCACTCTTCGGCCCTTGCAGCCGCCTGGCATCTCAACCACGCAGGAGGCTGAAATCCCTGCAGGAAGTAGGAAGAAACATATACTCCATGCTGGTCTCCCACCCTCTCCAGATCCCAACATCCATTCCGACCCAAACAAGTCTTCAATTTGTTAGCCTAGCGCTCCCTTCCTTCTAACTGAAGATTTCATGTGTCTTTCAGACACAAGGTGGCAAAGTTGAGCTGGTTCTACTCATACCCTGCAACTTTAAGCACGAACTGCATTATGTTGTTTAGACTGTACTTTGGCCTCTGGACCACTAACCACATCTTGTGGTTTACTCTTACTCTACCTCTTTTTGTCTTCTTAGAAATGACTTCCTAAGTGGAAGAAGGCATCTGCTGCACCACACTAAATCTTCTGCTTCATGGGAGTCTGCAGTACAAACCCCAGAAGCTGAACCAAACTGTTCCAAAGTCTTTCCAAGTCCTTGGTTGGTTCTTGGTTCCTCTCTAGGGAAATGTGCCGTCTTTTGGTCTGGGCTGCGTTCCTCATGGAACTCCTGAGTAAGTAATTCCATCCACAGTATTCAAGGTTGTCTTTCTCTCCCTCTCGTGTCACGTAGGTTTGAGCTTTTCTGTATTTGGGCTAGGAAAGGGTAGATGGATTTCTCTTCAGAGATCTTGTGGTGACTGGAAGGAGATCTGCAAGGATTTCTGACTCACAGTAATTTACCTGTGTTGGAAATGAAATTATGCTCCATTCAATCTGGCTCCAAATTCATTTATTGCAAGTGAAACCCTTTGTTGCCATGTCCTAGCTGTGGATATCAAGAATTCACAATAAAAATGAAATGGACCCCACAAGCTAGTTCTGAGCGGCGTAGGAGTGAGAGCAGAAAGCAGAAATGGACCTTTCAGAGTTCAGACCAAGCATGATGTGACAAAGACAGGAGTTTCATCTATTCTGCACAAGCAGAAAATATCAACTTCAATCTTTGTCTGTATGTACATATTTTCAAATGATCCTTTAGGGTCATGGGTGAAACATGCTTCTTATGACACAGTGCAGCAATGCAAGGATTAAGAAAGCATTTAGAGAAGAAACAAGAAATATTTCTGAAATGATAGATAAGAAGCTCAGGGTAAAGGGATCCATTTTGGGTGTGTCCATCCATTCCCCTGTTGATTCTGTCCTACTGATGGGAACAATTGACAGCAAAAGAAGAAGGAGACGGCAGTGGCTGGATGGAGTCACTGGGGCAGTGGGTGTGAGCTTGGGTGGCCTCCGGGGGATGGTGGAGGACAGGAGAGCCTTGAGGAATGTTGTCCATGGGGTCGCGATGTGCTTGAGGTGACTTCGTGACTAGCATAGCACAGTATTCATTCCCCTGCTCTCCTACTAATCCATCTAGCTTCCTCTCTCCTTCCATTATCTTCTGTGCAGAAGCAAGCACTGGACAGTCGGTTGACCAAACTAAAGGTACCGTGACTGTGAGCGAAGGGCATCCCTTATTCCTGAAGTGTACCTATCAATCGGCAACCTATGTGTTTTGGTACACTCAGCATCCTGGTCTTCCTCCAAGTCTGCTTTTGAGGTTGTATGGTACAGAGGAAGTGAATGGTTTCCGTGCCAAGCATGATTCACAGAAGAAGACCTTCCACCTGGAGAAATCTGCCATCCAGCTGCGGGACTCTGCTGTCTATTTCTGCGCCGCGAGTGACACAGTGAAGCTGTGCAGAGGAGCAGCCCGTCAAAAACCTGCAAAGAGGAAGAGAGATGGGGCAGGAGCAGGAGCAGCAGCTGCTCAGATCTAGGTTCTTTTGACTTTTGTGGACACTCCTCAGGGCCTGAGTGCTGATGTCTGTGGGACTTCACTCCATTTCCAATGGCATTGGGTCAATTGCACAGAAGTGATATTACAAGCTGACCTGGAAGAGGCACCACAGAAGCAACAGCTCCTTTTCTCCGCTTGAGGATTCCTAGTAGAACTTGTTCCCTCTCCCACATTTGCATGTTGTTACTTATTAAAAACTCAGTGTGTATCTTGAGAGTTTGTTTGGAGAACATGATGTGGGATTCCAAGTTTCCATGAATTTTCCTTCTTTTCTGTATTTCATTTCTATTAACTGATTCTTTAAAAAGTTACAGTGAATAAAGAACAACACTGAAGATACAACAAGCAATCAAACTGACCCATAACTCCATGCTGGTTCCCCACTAGCTTCAGATCCCAACAACTGGTCCAATCCAATTACGTCTTCATTTATGTAGCCCATTGCTCACTTCCATGTTATTGGAGCTGTCATGAGCCTTTCAGACACTAGGTGGTGATCTTGAGGTGCTTCCACCTCTCCCCTGTCACCGTTAACAAGAACAGAGCTGTTTAGAATGCACATTGGTTTCTTGACCACTAACCACAGCTTTTGTTTACTCTGCCTTTATCTCCACTTGCTTCTTAGAAATCGCTTCCTAAGAGGAAGGCATCTGCTGCTGCTCACCAAATCTTGTGTTACAGAGGAGAAGACAGCCAAGCCCAGAAACTGATCAGAACTGTACCCAAGTCCTTCCAAGTTCTTTGTTCCTTGATCCAGGCAAATGTGCCATCTTTTACTCCAAGCCGTGTTCCTCATGGAACTTCTGAGTAAGTTATTCCTACATACAGCATGCATGGAGAACTTTCTCTTCGTTTAGCTTCATGAAGCTTCAAGTTCCTCTAAACTGGGACAGAGGGTGGTTGGTTGCTCTCTTCTGGAAGATCTCGAGAGGTTTGAAGAAGGTCTGCAAACATTTCTGTCTCGATTATTTACAAGTCTTAGCAACAACACCATCCCCTACCATTACTGGAGTCTCTTGCTTGAAGCTTGAGGGATCTAGTAGTAGATTCTTGTGTCAGGGGATAGTGAGCTCCATTCGATTTGAAATACATACTCCGGCTCAGAATCCATCTGCTCTATGTGGAATTGTTTTACACCATTCCCCATCTGATGGCTTTTGGGATTCAACTAATTAAAATGGAGTAGATCCCACAAGGCTTTTTTGAGTACTGTTAATTGAGGACAGAAAGGAGTGGTAGACCTTTCAAAGTTTTAACAATTATACAGCCAATAGAAGTTTTATGTTCAGCTTGACATGCAGGAAAAATGTACTCTAAACATACTCTTCTTTCTTTTCCAAAGCTCTTTTAGGGTCCTGTGTGAAAATGCTCCCCATGTTGTTAGAATGACTCACAGCAACAAGACGGGGCTTGGGCAGATATTTAGAGAAGGAGAGACGCAACAGGGCAGTGTTTCTAAAATACTCAGAGGGAAGGAATCCTCTTTGGAAGTGTCTATCCATTTCCCAGGTTGTGCACTTGTCCATCTAACTTCCTCTCTCCTTCCATTATCCTCTGTGCAGAAGCAAGCACTGGACAGTCGGTTGACCAAACTAAAGGTACCGTGACTGTGCGTGAAGGGGATCCTGTACTCCTGAACTGTACCTATCAATCCCCAGTCTCTTCAAATTTTCCGTTTTGGTACATTCAGCGTTCAGGTCAGCCTCCAAAGCTCTTCCTGAGCACTTCAAGTGAAGAAGAGGGGACTCGTCAAGGTTTTGATGCCAAGAATGTGAAGAAGACCTACCACCTGGAGAAATCTACCAGCCAGTTGAAGGA